AGTTGGGTCTTAGCTAGATTTAAACTTTTTCTCATCAGCATCTATCTCTTTTATTTCCCATTAAGGGCATCTGATACAATATCTGTTTCCCAGTTCTGATTAGAACGTCATCCCATTCCAACTGTGGGGTCACCTTATATCAAAGGAATGTGGACTAGGCCAAGTTGGTCTTTGACACCCACTCCTCTTTTTTAGTGCCCTTGGACCCTATTCAATTTAGGTTTCCCCTTCCGGATTCATGCTTCATTCAATGCCACCCACTCACACCACTCCTGCCCTGCCCTTCTAGAAAGAGTCCTTCATTAAAACTTACTCTGCCACATCATATACTTTCCAGCTCTACCTGCTTACTGACTCATTCAATATATTCAACAAACTCTTACTGAGTGCTACGAGCTAGGGAAACAAAATGACAGCAGTATAGCCTTTACATTCCAGTAATTCATATTCCACTTATGCCATGATACAACAGTGCTGTAATCAGTGATGCTCAGCCCCAGAATTAGAACCACCTGCCAAGCTTTTAAAACTACAAATGCTCATGTCCCACCTAAGTTAGTAAATCTAGGTGGGACTCAGATATATAAAATTTCTAAACCTCCCTCAAGGATTTTACTGAATAGCCAGAGTAAAGAAGAACCAAAGGATATGTTGAATGTGGAAAGGTAATAAGAATCTGGAAGTGGTGGGTGGACTTGATACTGGAGGTTTAAATTGTATGCTGAAGGATGAGTAGTTTTCCAGGGGGAGAAGAGAAATCCAGGAAAAGGAAAGCATGAAGCCTAAAACTAAGGCCTTTGAATTTATCAGTATAATTTTTACCGGTACACCAGTAGAAAAGGGTTAGAAGACTCATTTGTGAATAACATTTACGCATATTAACTATAAATTTCTGGGGGGAAATACCCTTACTTTTGTCGGTCAATGCAGTTAACTTATAGTGTAGTAACCATTTTGTTTTCATGGTTAGTTTCTTCCATAAATTACAAACATTTTCAGGAAAGGGACATTTGACTTAATCTTTATAACCCCACAACTGGTGCACAGTGGGTTTCTCAATCAACACTTGTTGAATGAATGAATGATGGTCTTTATGTCATGATCTTAATAATGGGAATTTCAAGCCAATTGAAAGAGGAGAGATTTGGGGGCAAGCTAGCCTCTCAATTCTACTTGCAAAGCGTGAAAGTGATCACCTTCGTCTATGTGTTGTGGCCCTGTTTTGAAATATCCAAAATTTATCCATTTATTTGACAAGAATTTATTGTTTCTATTATATACCAGGCCCTCTATGTATATATTTGTTTTCAAAGTGATATGAATTTCTCGCTTTTTTAAAAAAATTATAAGTTAATATTAGGGAAGGGAAGTTTGCACTTAATGAATATCAACCATATGCTTGGTACTTTATATATCTATATATCTGATCTGTACAATATCATGTAATTTTTAGTTCTCACATCAATCTTGAAAATAATCTTCCCCCTCCCACCACCATTTTTACAGATAAGGAAACTGATGCTCGAAGGTGCAAGGTCCAAGATCATGTGGCTAATGGGTAGAAGCACCAGAATTTGGACCAAACCTTGTCTTCCTTCAAAGCTCAGTACCTTTTCCTCACACTATACTACTCCGTGGGTTAGCCCAAAGGTTAGGTTGTTAGTAAATACTTAATGAATCCATGAGCAAGGCCAGGTCTGCATGATTAAAAAGTGACCAGTCAACAAACTGAGCCCACGTGGCACACAGCATCAAAATGTTCGCTTTAAACTAGTAGATTATCCTGAAGACAACAGCAGTAACCTAATCAGCTTCTCACCACTGGTTCAGTGGTCTTGGAAATACAGTTTATGATGGAGTCTATGAGCACAAAGTAAGGGAGAGGTTTGTCAGTTTTTATTAATGATGATGATCAAACTGGATAACTCAGATTGGCCTTTTTTCTTTTTGAACTGGTTTTGCTTGATTGATTGTTTTTAGGCCATTCCTTCAATCTATTACTTCCAAACAACATGACCTAGAGTGTTAGTAATTATCCAGTTAATTTGGCCAATGTGAACAATCAACTTTGATAAGGATAATACTGAGTTGACAACCAGAAAATAAATCAGGGTCAAATCCAAAATTAGATTATGACATTGTTAGGCCATACTAAAAGTAGGCCAGAAGCCTTGAGAAATTTATCCAAGTAGTTCCCAAATATATGTATATATGGGGGTGGGGGAGGAGGATGGGATAGAGACCTGGTTAGTGTACCCATCTCAGGAATGAAAGGATTGTATGATATAAATCATATCCTGCAGAGGATGTGCAAATTTCCTGAGGGCAGCCCCATCTTGCAGCACTGGCTGGGCTAAGGCCTCTAACCAGCCCACAGTGCCAGGAGGGTGATTCACAGACAGATTCAAAACTCCAGAGTCCATGTGGAATGATTTCTTTGGGCTCCTCTTCCTTAGGGTCTGCTCTCTAAACTCTCCTATTGGATCCATTTCCTATCCAGGAGCATGTTGGAGACCGTACTGCGGTTCTGTGTGTATGAAATCTTGACTGTCTGCTTTGCGGAGTCAGTGGCAGGCCATGTTAGAAGCAGTGGAAGTCCAGGGCAGAAACTGTCCCTTACTTCTAGGGAATGATCCAGGTAGAAGGACTCTCCTCAAGCAAGGAAAGGCATCAGATGTTCTAGCTCAGTCCTGGAACAGTAGTTGACCATTAATGGACAAAAATTCTCTTTAGTCAGACATTGAGTAGAGCAACTCAAATGTTCTGTAACTCGGGCTGGAGGGAATTCCTCCCAAATTCGTTGACAAAGTACTTTAAAAGACTGAGGAAATGGGCCTAATAAAACTTTAACTGTAGGGAGGCTGTGAGAGCCCAAGAGCAGGATTAGCCTATTTGGGAGAACAGTAATTATAACTCTGCCTGAGCAGTACTCCCCACTACTTCAGGACAAGCAGCCTCAGCAAGCAGGGCAACGTGGTTGGAGACAGGAAGCCTGAACTCAATTGGTCAGTGTTAAAGCCCACGATCAGAGAGCATTCCTGGGAGCCACAATAGGAAGAGAGCAGAGCCTGTGAGGCAGTGAAATGGAGAGATGGGCACTATAGCTTCTAAGTATTTCGTGTAGACCTGGGATGAGTGAGGCCACCCTAGGTCTCTGCCTGGGAAGGAGGGACTTGGGGGCACAGGGTTCCTGATTTTGGCCTGGGTACCATTTTGCTTCCTTAAAGTGACTTTGCATTGATTTGTTCTCATCCATTATGTACTGAGTTGTTGTCATTGTTGTTGTTTTTAATCAAATCTGAGTTCTGCTGATGTCCGTGTTCTACCCACATTTACTCTTCTTTAGTGAGGCTGAAAATCAATACTTTAACAGGTATTTGTTTGGCAAGGCAGTAGAGCAAAATAGTTAAAGTTTGGGCTTTGGAACTAGAAGAGTTCAAATCCTGACTCTACCATTTACTATCTACATGTCCTTGGGCAAGTTCCTTAACCTCGATTTCTCTAAGCCTCAATTTTCTCATCACTAAAATCAGAATAATAAAACCTATGTCACAAAATTGTGGTGAGGATTAAATAAGAGGAATGTAAAGTGCTTAGATCAGTAATTCTCAATAAATGCTATCTATTATTATTATTATTATGGCTTTCAAGTTCGCAAAGCATCATCACATGTATTTTCTCACTAGAATTATTTAGTGTTGATATACAATGCAGGTTAGGGATGCAGAAGTAGATTAATATGGGAAGGGAGAGACTGGTAAAGGAGAGATTGCTTCCTCCTCCTTTGTCAGGCCTTTACTGTTAGATGAAGCTTATAAGCCATCCCAAATCTCCCAGTCTCATGTGCTCTCCCCCTCTTCCCAGTGGCTTTCAGCTTCCCTCCTCTTAACTTCATGGTTGGAATGTCCCCACATGGGGCTGTCACTGTTCCAGCACAACCCTTCTCCACTTCATTTAGTCATCGAACCTTTCTCCATTTTACTCAGAAAATAGCAGAGCCCCTTTGAGGCAGCAAGAGCACAGCCCACATTGCTCACTCTTAGTCTAAGCAGGGCCTCTCTGGAGGAAATGCCCAGTGCAGAGGTGAAGACTGGGTGAAAGCCTCAATGTCACCCACAATATTTCCTCCTCTCCTCTTAATGTGAGGCTTTCCCTTCATGTGGCTGGGGAAATCCAGCTCAGTCATCTCTGAAGACCTTGAATTAAGAGCTATGGTTGCTTTTGGTGGGGAGAGGTGGTTGAAGCAACTGTCCCCACCCACACCCAACATTTCATGCTCATCTACTCAAAGCCTCCAAAATGCTCTAGCCTTTCAGAGAAAAATATACCATCCTTATCATCCCCCAAATTAGTCAGAATGACAGACAGCCTTCAGAGGGATGTATACATGGAACAGTTATTTTTGGCATACTCTTTCCATAAGGTCCTCTAGTCACCAGTCACCGCTTCAAAATTATCACCCCTATCAGCCTACTCCTCCCACACTCCTGAATAGCACATGAGGAGATAGGCAGGTCTGGCTCAATGCATTGCTAGACCACTTAAAACAAGGTTATCAAAAAGCTTAATTGATAGAATATAATCAATACCTAGCATTAAATCAGCAGATGGACTGTTAAAGCTGAAAATTTCCTGTGCTGCCCAAGTCCCTATCATTTGAATGCCCACCACCTCACTCATGGCTGTTGATGAGATCAGGAATCTTTTTGCTGAGGCTTCTGTCTATAGCCTCCACCAGTGTCCTCTGATTCATTTGTGCCTCTGGCTCTTGCCTCGGACTACAGCTGTGGGCTCCACTTCTACTTCTGCCATCTCAGGCACATTCTGAGTTGAGTGTTCAGCAGCATAAAATTTTTGTAACCCACAGCCTACATACAGAACACTCAAACTCTTAACTGACAGGAAGTCCGAAATCTATACTTCAGCTCTCTTGGTGGTGGTGTCTTTTTCTTCTCCCTGGTCTGATATATTGACCCTGGCTATCATATTTGTTTTTCCAGGAAATGGAACTGACTTTAGGGTTGGTGCCTGTGGAAGATTCTCCCCTATCTCTTCTTCCTATTGATTCACGGAACCTCCATCCCTGCCCAATACTGCAGCTGGAATAGGTTGAATAATGGCCACCCAAAGATATCCCTGGAACCTGAAAATGTTGCCTAATTTGGATAAAGGGTCTTTACAGATATGATTAAGTTAAGGATCTTGAGATGGAGAAGTTACCCTGGATTATCTGGGTAGGTCCTGAATGTAATCACAAGTGTCCTCATAAGAGAAAGGCAGGGGGAGATTTGACACACAGAGATGATGATGTGAAGACGGAACAGAGAGATTTGAAAATGCTGGCCTTGAAGATTAGAGTGACACAGCCACAAGCCCAGGAATGCTGGAAACCATCAGAAGCTGGAAAAGGCAAGGAACAGATTTTCCCATAGAACATTGTCCTGGAGGAAAAGTAGCCCTGCTGACACTTTGATTTCAGCCCAGTGATATTTGGTTTCTGGCCACTGGAATGGTAAGATAATAAACCACTCTCTGGGTAGTTTTAACCCACCCAGCTTGTGGTAATTTGTTACAGTAGCCACAGAAAACTAACACAGCCGCCATGTCCAAAACATCTTTCCACTGCCTTTCACTCACTGTTGCGTGTTCAGTTTAATTTCAAGTAACTCTCATGACCATCCCCCTCCTTTCTCTCTTTTCCAGGAAAGGAAGCCATTTTTGCTGACAGCAGCATATGACGTTTTCCAAAAGTTCTTTAGAAATTTTGGGCTTCTGGGATATGGCTTTCTCTTCTCTTTTCTTTTACTATCTCTAAATAATTAATGGAAAAGACAGTATTGTAAAAGCTCGTATACTTGGTACTCTCTCAACCAAAACTCTCCATTTATTAACTGATACTTCTAAGATCTTCAGTAGAATGATGGTCTTCATAATGATGCCCTTAAGACTTTGCAAAACCCTGAAAAGTTTTCCAAGACACTGAAAAAAAGGTTAAATTTACCAGTTCCTCTATATCCTTAGAAAAGGCATAGCCACTTAACCTGTTTGAATCATTGGATTGTCTTCAGGCTACATAGAGAAGGTCTTGAAGCCAGGAGGCTGATAGATTGAGGAGAAATGGAAGGATCAAGGGACTGGAGATCTTAATGAGGTAAAAGTAAAATCTGAGGAATGAAGCTGGAATGGAAAGGGATGATCAGAGGAGTTTCAGACTTGACATAGTGTAAGAGTTGAAGCTGTGTGGGTGAAGGTCCTGAGGGAGGACTCAAGTAGCTTAAGTAAGGTGATGGCAAAAGGCATTGGTGTCAGATGATCATGGAACCGGGAACTCAGAGTGTTGGGTTTATCTTCCACATGGGCGCTGTTTGTCTATGATGCATGAATTTAGGACACAGAGAGGAGAGAGGAGCACTGTGACCAGGATGGAAAAAGTCTCAGTAAATGAAGACTAATGATTGGAATGTTGAAGGATGCTGGATCAAGGGAAGGGGGCTCAAGAAGTGTTTTTTACCAATGTGAAATGAATTAGAGAAGTGAAACAAGACAAATTATAAAGAGGATGCTAAAATTGTGGTAAAGTGATTACTGGTGAACTTCAAAAAGGCAGTGACCCTGCAATGACAAAAGCCAGCATCCTAGAGGTTATTCTCTAAATCTTTTCCCCTTTCTTTCCATTTCTAAAGTGGATCAGGCCTTTACGGCCTTGTGTGTAGATGGGCTTCCTTGAATCTAACTTCACTTCATTACAGTCCTCCTGCACACCACCACCAGACAAATTTTCCTTGAGTGTATTATGAGTATGTCACTGCTTTGGTCAAAACTCTACAGGCAGAGAGTCAAGACAAGCACCCAAAAGAAAGTGATCCACCACCTTGCTCATTTACCCAAGACTGAGGAATTTCCAGAGATGCAGGGCTTTCAGGGCTAAAACTGGGAAAGTTCCAGGCAAACCAGGATGAGTTGCTAACCCAAGAGAATTAATTCCAAGAGAAAAGGAAGTCTCTATTGTTATTCAAAGATCCAATGTGTTAATAAGACCCCCCCCCCATCAGAATAACCCCTCATACAAGACCCACATCAGCAGTAAACTTCAGACCAAAACATAAACACAATGAAATCACGGAACCAAATCACAGACAACTGTCATGTCTTACAATTGTTTGGCTTCCATAATAGGATTTCCAAAGCAAAAGCTGAATCCCTAGAATCTGCTTTACCTTATATATTACAATCTAGAACCACATTGCTGGTATTAGTCACAGGGTGGTGATAGCACTAAAAGATCCACCTGCAAACCGGGTTGGTTGGTTACCCATGACCTTATTAGCTTTTTTAGGAAGTGAGAAAAGAAGAGAAAAGGGGAATGTCTTTATCAACTTGGCTTCTCCATATTTTACATCCATCTGTGGTAGTTGTTCAGATTTAATCTTCTGTGAAACCAAAGAATACTTCTATCAAGAAGTTAATTGTGGTGGTGTTAGGCTAACTGTTTAAAAGAAAAAAATTAGCCATAAACACTATAATCAAAATGATAAGGTAAATCTTACAAAACTAAACATATTCTTACCATATGATCCAGCACTCACACTCCTTGATATTTACTCAAATGAGCTAAAAACTTGTCTACACAAAAACCTGCACATAAATATTTATAGACCTTTTGTTCATAATTGCTAAAACCGGGAAGCAACCAAGATGCCTTTCAATAGGTGAATGGATAAATAAACTCTGGTACAATGGAATACTCTGGATAAACAAACTCTGTACAATGTAATGTTGCTCAGCAATAAAGAGAAATGAGCTATCAAGCCACAAAAAGACATGGAGGAACCTTAAATGCATATTGCTATATGAAAGAAATCAATCTGAAATGGCTCCATACGCATGATTCTAACTATATGACATTCTGGAAAAGGCAATACTACAGAGAACAGTAAAAAGATCAGGGTTAGGGGGAAGGGAGGGATGTATAGGTGGAGCACAGGGGATTTTTTTAGGCCAGCAAAACTATTCTGTATGATACTGTAATTGTGGACTCATGTCATTACACATTTTTCAAAACCCATAGAATGTACAACACAAAGGATGAACCTTAATGTAAATTATGAACTTTAGTTAATAATAATGTATCAATATTGGTTTATCAATTGTAAAAAATGTGCCACAATGATGCACATGTATATATATGTATTTATAGATATATATATATATACAATGTTAATAATCGGGGAAAATAAAATTTATATAACGTTAAAAATAGGGGAAACAGGATGGGGTGGGAGTGAAGTGGTATGTGGGAACTGTCCGTACTTCTAAATTTTTCTGCAAACGTAGAAGTGCTCAAAAAAATTGTCTATTAATTAAAACAACTACAACAATAATAGACTCCATCCCTCAAATGTGGAGTCAACTGGTTTACAATCAAATTAAATGCCAGTTTTTCCCAACAGAATATTAAGCAGAAATCTGAGAATTTTACAATGGAATTATCCATAAAACGGAAAAATTAAATTACGAAAATATCCTTGCAGTGTATTAAAAGTGAAACAATGTCAACATATTAAATATATTTTAAAGGACAAAATTATAAACAGTAAGAAATTTGGGAAAATAAATTTGCAACAATGTGACACTCAACAATATAAAGGGTTGGTATCTTTATTGTAAAAAGAGATTTTATACTATGATGAAGAAATAAGCAAACATTCTAATAGAAAAATAGGCAATAAATATGAACAGGGGATTCACAAAAAAAGAAATACAAATGTCCAATTAACATTCAAGGGGCTGGCCCCATGGCTTGGCGGTTAAGTGCGCGCGCTCCGCTACTGGCGGCCCAGGTTTGGATCCCGGGCGTGCACTGATACACCGCTTCTCTGGCCATGCTGAGGCC